GTATATGTTTTTAACTAAGCCGTATAGAATTCTTCCTTCTTTAAACGGCAAAACTAGCCAAAAAGCAACAAAAACATCACCAGCCGTATTTTCGATGCTTTGATGGCTCCAAAATTACTCTAGTACCATCCAGACACTTAATAGATTCGAAAGCAGAAATTTGATACGCTATAATCTAAGAATATTCACAATTTTCAGCCTAAAATCGGCAGAAAAATAAGAATATTAAGCCTCGGTTGGAAAAAAAAATTCCTATGAAAAATAAAGAGTGTAAACTAAGTTCACTAAAACTTACAAGATATTAGACTCCATCTCTTGTTAGAGGTGGACACATACTCAATATTTGTATCACGTTGTTATAACACAACTTAAATTAAAGTGAATGTTACAATGTTCTACTCATGTTCAGTGAGTTTTGCTTTGTTCTAAGGGCGCAATTTCGACATTTGTCTTTGGTAAGGAAAATACCTTTCATTTAATCTTGTGAGAACAGTGGGAGGTATAGTAACGATATGCAAGAAATAATTTGTCAGTTGTGGATCGTTTCCACTGCATGTTTTATATTTTGGTGGTCGTTGATTTCCTTCAAGGAAGACATAAAAGGTGGCTCGTTTCATTCTATTTGCAAGGGAGGGAAAATGACAATGGGTCTCAATGGGGTGGTGGCTTTTACAGAAACGGTTAGTACTTTGGCTTTTTTACTGCCAACAGTTAATTTATTTTCGTTACGGTAAACAGACGTCCTTCATTGTTTACAAAAGTTAGAAATTTATTTTGATTACTCTTATATGTATTTAAGGTCTTAACACCATTCCGGGACGGAAAACGTTATTTAAAGAATGGTAGACTAACATAGCTTACATGCAACAAGACAAGACACAAAAAAAGCCTTGACAAGAGATCTTGAGACTTTCACTTTCGTGGCTAAATTTTTTTTTACGGTTAATTTGTTTTTCACGGCTAACGGTTAAAATTTACGCATAACGGCTAAATTTTTGACCCGTTTTACGGCAAGGCGGTCAACCCCCATTGAGACTCTCTCTTTGCTCAGAAATGTGAGAAATAAGAAATAATTAAACACTATCCAGATAAAATTCGCATTCAAACCAAAATTAAGAGATTGACTTAAGACCATACAAGCTCAGGATGAGAATCGAAGTAACGTATTGTTGTATGATGTATCATATGTTAGGACACTGCACTTAATATATGCTGTAAGGAACGTAGAATAACAAATCAGGTCCTCGCTTTTGCTTTGCCACAAAGAAAAAGACTGCGTAACCCAGATATATAGAAGTGAGTTTGACCAATTTTACGATTAATGTTATTTTAAAATTTTAATTAGTAAACATATTACATTCAAGAATGAGGTCTAAGCAGCCCAAAGTTTTATATACAGAAATTGAGTGACCTCGTTTTAAATGCGTTTTGCTTGTTCGAGGAGTAAGAATAACTGAAGTACGTATTAAAATCCCGGCAAACATTTAATGTCATATACTAAATTAATTCAATTTCGTTGATTTAAGAACAGCTCAAGTTATTAACAAGAAGTTGCAAATGTACAATGTCTTATTGATCGGTTTAGACCGCATTTCCAGGCATAATATTTATGTCATATCATAAACATTTACGGAAGTGCAAAATAGATACAGCTAATCATACTCTCTCACATAAAACTTCCAGGAAAATATCACCGCTTTTTTTACCAATATACTACAAAGCGATATTGGTGTTCTATCGACTGACTCACTCCAAGGTGGAAATAAACTAGAATCTGATATCACTCTTCAGAACAGTGATACAGTTTTACTTTTTCTACAGTTATAATCCCGCTACTTCTCAACGTTTACAGTAAAGGCAGCAAAATTCACGACTGACTTTGGCCTTTAATTTATCGCGGCGTGATGTGTTCAAATCCACTCAGTCCATGTGAAATTTCGTTGCTTTTTCTGTTTGCATATGTTATCTTCATCCAGGATAATAGCGCTACAATTCTCTATGGGCCAGTATGTAACACAATTACCCTACCTCAGTTTTCATACTTGTCTCTGTCTATTATCTATTTTCTACACAAGACCATTATTTTCTCTTTAGAGAGGCTTTTAGTATACCGCCCAAAACCAGCACTCTGTTAATATTATCATCTGCTATGATGACTTTTCACATTCCAGAGTACAGTTGCTTCTAGTGCCCGAGATATCTATATTAAAGTGACAGGAAAAGAACAGAGGTTGAAAGATTAGAGATTTAAATCCCTGTGGGAACGAGAAAGCCTCTTCTCTCCTTTAAAATCAGGTGCATTTCTTTTAAAGTGCTCTTTTAAAATACTTGGCAGCTCCTCGCTGCCTCGTTTGGCTTTCTTGTATTCTTTTTCTATTTCTGCAGCTCTTTTCTTTATTCTGTTCTTTACGCTTGCAACTTTGTCTTGGAAAACAGGAATATCCAAGATAGCAGTGATGGCTTCCTTGGCTTGTTGGCTTACTGCCTGGTGACTTTGTTTATAATCTTCTACTTCTTGACGAATTGATTGAGCAAGTTCTAAAAACAGTAAAGAAAGAACTTAGATACTGGTAAAAGACACATTTCAATTAATCTTTCAAAACTTATTAATAAATTGTGACACTTTCAACATATAAATCAAGCGATGAAGAGGAAACGATAAAAAATTTTTTTTTTTTGATTGTAGTAAACACTCATCGTGGTCTGCTGCAGATCTGCAAATCTGATTCCGCGAATCTGGTTAGATTTCTCAATGTTGGCTATTTGCCGACAGAAAGCGATCAAGCACGTTTCTTTTGGAAGAGTGAAATGAAGTTTCTTTGCTTTAAAATTCCAAACATAGGATTTGACTATCATGCTCTGGAACAGGAAACAACGATAGCGTGTATTGAAGCATGGTGAAGTTCTCGTATTCCCAAGTTAATGTTTGTTGTTCATAATGGTGACAAATATTCACGATCTTTATATTTTCGAAACATGAGGCAAACGTCGATCAGTTCTTTTAAATAGTGATGTTTACTGTAAAAGGAAATAACAGTCGATGAAATGAGTGTTTCAGTTCTTACCATTGACTTTCTGGATGACAGTCTGTTTGACAGTATCTCTTAATTTGTTCCTTGTTTGTTCAGTCTGGTCTGCTGGCACATGCATTTGTTGCATAATGTCTTGTTTTAACTGTCTAACAACTTGTTCCAATCTTGCCAAAGATTTTCTGGACTGATAAATGTCTACTATCAGCGACATTATGTTGTCAACTCCTAGGAGGACACAAAATAGGAACAACAAGAAACAGCAGTTTATAGAAATACTGGTCAATCTAAAACAACACGGTTCTGGTAAGCAACTTCCTTAACAGGAAGTAACGTTACTACTTGAAAAACGGCCCTTTCTTCCGCTTATTACATAGTTGTAAACAGATGAAAGAAGAAAAGTAAAAGATAACGAAGGAAACGACTGCTATAATAATATTGCTATAAAATACTAAAGGAAAAAAAGATTTACGCGATGTCCATTTAGTGTACTCTTCGTTTTTCGATCAAAACGTTGTTACTTGGCCCTCCCAGCTCATGTTGAAAAGTCTTGATTTAAAATTATCATCCATGGAGGCAAATGCCATTATTGTATGTCGATTCAGCTCGGCAAAAGTTATTATTGCTATAATGCGATTTATAATCAGAATTAGTTTAGAATGAAATGTATGATATTACCTTGTTTTACATGGTCCTGCATCCGGTTGATTTTGTTGTCATTTAGCATTTCATTTTGTCTCTGTAACAAGAGCACGAAATATCATCATACAACAATAACGGAATTTCCATCTTTTAACCTTATTTACTTGTCAAATCGTCTAGCACCAGAAGAACTAATTTGTGACAATAAATAATGACGTTAACGAAGTACAGTGATAAAGGATTAAATAATAAAAAAATACAATATTTAAAGTCAAGAACAAATGTAAGAAATCCTCAAATATAAACACGTTAGAAGTTAAAAATACTAAGTTATACTATTCAAGAGTAATCTCTAAAAAACCCTTTCACATTTGCAAAAATCATTCTAATTTACTAGCGCACTTTTTACAGATAAGCTGTTGCAGACTCTATTCTAGTTCTAGATCTCGACAGGAAAAATGTTCAGGGTCGGCCAGGGTTTTTGGGTGTGCGATATCCAGGGGCATCTTAAATCAAGTATACGGTATTTTGACGCCAAAATTGGGCCTTTTATGAGTATAAAGAATACCTTGTTTCTCTAAATTTTGGTATTTCGCATGAATTTGAAATTTATTGGCTTTTTCTTTTCAGGTATACTGCTGTAGCACTACCCCCCATGGTAAAGTCTGCATACGAGCCAAGTGGCCCACCAG